CTAGATGTCTCGAAGGAGAAAGCTGCGTCGCCAAAAGAAAAATGTAAAAATTGGTCACAATTCAGTCGGAATTACCACCATATTACCAATATTCGATCTTCTAATTGATTTGGTTGACCAAATTGGACTATGACCCATAGGACAAAGTGTTTTACATTACATCATTTTGACCATAAAATGACTTCAACTTTTTTCCCCACTTACCATCATTCGACGTCGATTTGTAGTAAATAAGGCTTGGTCGACAAAACTTTTAGACCTATTAGAAAGTCAAATAGAGGTAATTTTGCCCAGTTTTGCTGCTTGGGTTACGGTGATATATATAAAAAAACGCTTTATAGAAACAAAATTAATTCGAAATTACACTTGAATTAATTTTTGGAGATCTGATTCAGTTTGTCAATCAACTGATTAACTCGATGAAAGATACCGGGCCTGGAAAAAATCCTAAGGTGATGGTGGGATTTGAACTCGAGACCTCCATATTCGCAGCCCCTGCACCCAGTCCGCTAGACTTGCTCCTTACTATAATGTAATTATTTTTGGCTCTTATGACCAAAGATTTCATGTTTGTAATTATTTTTCTTTACTTATTCTCAAACTATTCTACGCATTTCATTTAGTATTTAGTTACAATAAACTTTAATTATCATTGAATATATATTTACTATATATTATGTTATTTTTAATAAATTTAATATATAAAAGGTAATCAGTTTACCAAAGTGTACGTGGCTACTTATCTATAAATAAATGGCTATACTTATCTATAAATAATGTATTTAAAGATATAATATTATTCAAAAAAACAAATGTTATTAGTAAATATATTATTATAATTAACGGTTGAATTTAACTCAAGGTTGTTGTTAGAATGTTATTTAATCGTTTTATTGATGTCATATTGAAATTCAATATATAAGTTGATATATGACGTCAACGCGACATCTAAATGACGTCACATCGGCGACGTCAACTTTTGGTATTGTAAATGACGTCAAAATAACATACCATTTATGTTACTGAACGTCGCAGTCATCAAAATCACTTCATAATCACGTCATTATCACGTGAGCTTGCTTGCTGGGTTGTTTTCCAACCATCCCCAGTAAACAATTTGTTCGCAATTTGCCGGCAAATTGTCAACAATTTTAAGCAAAAATACTCCGCAAATTAGCATCAACTGTGTCCGCATTAGGCTTCGAGTTTGTTGCCAAAGCTTGTCGACAAAAAGTAACAGCAAATTGCTAGCAAAAACCGAGCAAAGCTTGATATATATTGAAACATATTTTGGTCTGAGACCAAATTGACGCCAAATATGAAGCAAGATCTGCGCAACACGACACAGCTTTGCTTGGTTTTTGCCAGCAAATTCGTTGTTATGTTTTGTCAACAAGCTTAAATATATTTTTGCTAGCAATTTTGCAACATTGCCGGACAAAACAAACTCTGCATCATATTTGATGTCTTTCTGCTAATAAAATTTGTAACAAGCATTTGGCAAAATCTGTTTCGACAGATTTGGTTATCTGGGTCGTGTCGATTTTTGGGAAATGATAAGATTTTTTACTTCCCTCGAAGAAAAATAACCTAATTTCGGTTAAGGTTTTCCTAACATTGGTTCGAGTTAGATCTAGTCGCGGGAGCAGGGGGAAGGGCGCAGCCTTGTCCCTTGCCTACATGTGTTATACAAACAACATATTTACTTCAGAAATCAACACGATGTTGGAAAACAAAAAATTCATGAAACTTTTTTTGGAAAAAACTGGATGACTAGAGCTGAGCGGCGAGATAACATGTATAGGAAAAAGTTGTTCAGAATAACGTTCTTAACAACATATTTCAAGCTCATCAAAATCGATGAGGAAGCCCCTAATCTAAATAATTACCTCTTTGTTAATTAAGATTGGTAATTATTTCAAATCTCGCAAAATGGTGTAGGACTAATGGTATAGGACTTTTCGACTCAGTATTAATTCTTCTACTTGTTTATGAACGATTGTACAGCAATTACCGGAGATTTATACAAAAACTGAATAATACACGGGGTGTATTATTCGGTTTTTGTATAAATCTATTTTCTTAAATTTTGTTATACTTCTGCAAAAGATGTGTTGTAAAAATTAGCTATTACAATTCATAGTCATTTTATATAATATTGTATATATTTTTTTAGTTTTTGTGTAAATTAATTTATTCATAGCGATTATATTAAAACATTTTTATAACACAATAAGTTTTATAAAAATACATCATCTTTGTTATTATACAAGGAGTCTGAAAAAATTTTGACATAGCCGAAGTGTAAAGGTAGATTAGATGGATTACCTTGAACCGAAAACTCAATTGTACTATTTTGCTAAATTCGCAATAGTTATTGAGTGATTACTTACTTTATGTGACTCAATGAGCGCGTAGAAAACAATGGTTCGAACTCTGTAAGTGTGTATGAGTTTTAGTAAAAAAAAAATGGCTTACTTTATGTAATCTTTTAACAGCAAAAGGCGAGCAAACAAGCAAGTGGCGTGTGACGCTTCTTGCAATCAGCTGGTTTTCAGAATTAAAATTCATACACGCCTACAAAGTTTGGGCTATCGCTTCCAACATGCTCATTGAATCACATATATTAATTATATACTCAATAACTACTGTAAATTTTGCAAAAGAGAAAATGACTTTTTGGTTTAAATTAATTCAATCTGTCTTCACACTTCGACTGTGTCAATTTTTTAGACGCTCTGTATATATGAGAGCATGAAAGGCTTGCTTATTTATCATTATTGAAAATCATAGCACGTTTATGTGCATTTTTGTTATATAATATTTATATATATATATTAAATTTTGTGTGTGTGTGTATATGTGTAATATTTAAACACAATTTTATATATATAATAAATTTTACAACATGTTTATTTTTATTTTAGGTGTCTTTCTTATGATACAGCTACAAATCGTACTCATTATATAACTTCCGAATCTCCACCATTGTCGTTTAGTACTGACTCCAAAGGTGTGTAACATATATATATATATGTGTGCGTGCGCGCGCGCGCGCGCGTGTGTGTGTGTATGTGTGTGTGTACATATACAGTGTCTAAAAAAGTTCGGGACTCTTGAATATTTCAGAAAATATTATAGAAATATTTCAGAAAATGTTATTTTAGAAAGTTTTACAGAAAAGTGTCATAAGTTTTTAGACAAAAGTTGTAGAGTTTAAAAGGATCTATTTACTGATTGTATCAGTGTGACCTTGGATGGCGCTGTCAAAATCAGGTCAAGGTCACATCGATTTTTTAAAATAGACCTTTTTATTTTTTATTGCAGATTCTTATAACTTACTTCAAGAGCTTTCTAAAACACTATAATAAAGTGTATTTTTATTAAGTTTTTTTAGTTATGAGGATTGAATATTTAGTTATGAGGGTAGAATATCGCCGGTGTTAGCAGTATCCAAGGTATACTGCATAGAGGTCGGATTTACACCTCTTGTGTGTGTGTGATCCAGCTAACTAAGGCCAGATCAGTTGTAGATCCAGCCAACTAAAGCAAACTTGGTCATGGATCTAGCCAACTAAGGCAAGACCAGTCGTAGATCCAGTCAGCAAAAGCAAAGACCGAACTGTTGGATTGGTTAATCAACTTTGACTTTATTTCATATACATATGTTTAGTAATAGATAAATAATACAAAGTTATTTCAGTAAACTCTTCTTCGTAGCATCTATATATTAACTAACTAACATAGAAAAACATGCTTGTGCACGCAGGCTCTCTCACTCACATGACTCACTCAGATGGCAGCACACACCAGTTAGCGAACTATAAATGTACACTCACACTCAACACGCCTCCTTACATTTATATTTCGCCCACTTTTGTATTCGCACATTTGTTAACCTAACCTAATCTCAACATTTCTCTGAACTTCACAAACTTCGCTTTACACAAAGACTTAGTTAATATATCGGCAACATTATTATCAGACTCTACTTTGACTACATCAATGTTCCCTTTCTCATAATTTTCATTTACAAAGTGATACTGCACTTCGATATGCTTAGAACTTTTTGTAAAATTACCATGTTTTGCAATAATTAACGCACCAGAATTATCTTCATACATTTTGACAGGACTACTTAGTTTTACCTTAAATGTTTCTTCCAACATGCAACGTATAAAGTTTACATCAGTCACAGCTTCAGATAAAGATACATCCCAGCAAACACAAAGTAACAGTTACGTAACATTAATGTTATAATTTCCCACAATGTAACTTGTACTACGTACAAGGCATGTTACATAGCAATTACATTGTGGGAAATTATAACATTAATGTTACGTTACTGTTACTTTGTGTTTGCTGGGATATTCAGCAAATGTTGACGATTTTGTTACAGAGCTTTGTTTGCGAGATTTCCAATATATTATATTATTGAACAGTCTTATTACGTATCCTGAAGTTGATTTTCTGTCAACAATATCACCTGCCTAATCAGAATCAACTGAGTAATCCATAATTTCAGTTCCAGTACTTTTAGTATAAGTTAATTTTAAGTCTTTTGTTAAACACAAGTATTTTAAAACTCTAAGTGCATATTTGAAATGCGTTTCGTTATAACAACCCTGAAATTCTCTACTTAGGTAATTTACACTAAAGGCAACATCAGGCCTAGTACTTATATATAACAGTTCTCCTATCAAGGTTCTATATTTTATACTAGTACTTATTTCAGTAGCTGGCTCTAACTTTAAATTTGCTTCCATTGGTGTACTACATAACTTTGCTTTTTCGAGATTATATTTTTTTGCAAAAGACTCGATATAACTTTTTTTACTTAAAGTCATAACACCGCCTTTAAGCTGATAATCAATACTTATTCCTACGTAGTTGTTTACTTTTCCAATAACTTTCATCTTAAAACATTTTGATAATTTTATCTCAACATCACAAATTTTTTTATGATTTTTGCAACTGTTGGAGATCTTTAGGATGCCATGCACATATATCTTTATTCTTACACGTTCCGATACATATAGAGATACAGGCACAGAACAAGAAGAAAAGTAAGTTAAGAGAAATAATATACCAAAGAGAAGGGAAGCACACTTGCGCCCTCTTTTACGCACATAACAATGAGCTACAAATGATAATTCGGTCGGTAACACAATATGTTGAGTTGATCTCCTTACACCCTCCTTATCAACGCACACATTGGAGCAGAAAGAACAAAACAAAACGGTTATGCATAATAACCTAGCAAGTGTGCATACCTGACACCTGACTCAAGTAATACTATAGGTAATACGCATCTTAATACGTCTTAACAGTCTAAATTCATCAGTTTTACACATTTTTCATGTTTATCCTTTCCTAACGGCTTAGTGAGCGCATCAGCAGTGTTCTTCTTTGTAGGAATGTACTGAATATTAATTAGCTTTCGCTCTTGTGCTTCTCTGGAGAAATGGAACCTAATATCTATATGTTTGCTTCTTTGGTTTGTAACGTTTTCTTTGGATAAAACGATTCCACTTTGGTTGTCACAAAATATTGGTGTGGCTTCCTTAACCGTTTTAGTGCCACGCAGCGCGATCGCGCTGTTCGCGTGCTGTAAGAAACTGTATCGCGATGTTCGATCGCGATCGGCAGTTAGCAACGCTCTCGGTTTGGAGTGTACCTTGTCGCGAGTCTGTCAGACTTCCCTCTCGTAATTATTAAAAAATATGAAGCGCGAACGCGCCGCGTGGCATTTTTCGACGAAAAAAAGGAGCAGCGCGACCGCGTCGATCGGCATTACTCGCAGATAAATGAAGGAAGCGCTATCGCGCTTCATGGCACAATCCGACACGGATTTTTAAAAACCCCTGGCACTAAAACGGTTAACATAACGTAAGAAACCCATTTCTTCAATTAACTTTCTAGCATACACGACCTCCTTTGTCCCATCCCTCCTTATCCCATCGGATAAGGACATGTACTCGGCCTTCATTGTGGATAATGCGACCGATTTCTGACGCTTTGAAGCCCACATAATTGGTCCTCGAGTATCAACACATTTCCCGAGTGTGATCTTCTATCACCGACGTTCCCGGCCCAGTCGGCATCCACAAATGCTTTAAGGCTCTCATTGGTCTCGCTGTAAGTTATACCAAAAACTTTGGTTTATTGCAGGTAGCGTAATACGTGTTTTGCAAAACGCCAATGTTCCGTACTCGGATTCGCGTTAAATCTACTTAATATTCCTGCCGCGTAAGCTATGTCTGGTCTCGAAGTATTAGATAAGTAGATTAGACTGCCTACCAATTCACGATACGGGATTGATTTTTTTTCGTGCTTTTCATTTCCCATATTTTCCACATTTTGGGTTGTAAGTTTGATTCCCTGTACTAAGGGTGTAAAGCTTGGCTTACAGTTCTGCATAGAGAATCTTTTTAAGATTTCATCCACGTACTTTTCCTGCGAGATTTTAATTGTATTCGTATCAGAGTTCCTTTTAATTTTTAACTCCAGGATTTCACTTACAGGTCCCAGATCTTTCATCTTGAATCGTTGACTCAACTCTGCTTTCACTCTAGTAATAGTGTTTAATGATTTTGAGAACAATAAGAGGTCATCTACATAAACGATAATGATGAACTTTTCGCCATCCCTCTCTCCATGGAAAACGCACGGCTCCAATGTAGAATTCTATAAGCCAATTTTACTTAACTCACCACGCAGTTTATGATGCCACTCTCGTCCTGATTGTTTTAAACCGTAAATTGGGCGTAAAAGCTTGCAGACTTTTTGACTCCCTGATTTTGTCTCGAACATTGAAGGTTGTTCCATGTAAATTTTATTTGACAGCTCACCTTGAACATAGGCTGTTACCACATCCATTTAGTGTATATGTAGATTTTCGTCGACGCTTAACGCAAGCATTAATCTAATTGTCTCTATCCTAGCCACGGGTGCGTAAACTTTTTTGTAATCGATTTCGCTGCGTTGTTCGAATCCGCGTGCTACTAATCGCGCCTTATATCTATCTGTTTCGCCATTTTGACGACGTTTTATATTGAACACCCACTTACAAGATACTACATGCATATCATGGGTTTTATCCACCAAAATCCAGGTATTACAATCGTTTAAGGACTTTATTTTGCTATTCATCGCCTCTAACCATTTTTCTTTTTCTTTGCTATTCATTGCTTCTTCTAACGTAGCTGGGTTTTCGGTGGATAAGCTCATAACAATTGTTGCTTCGTGGAATTGCTTTCTGGGACGCCCTAGTTTTCCAGTACGTATTATTTTCGGTCTTCTACGCCCACGGGTAACTAGAGGTTCCGGTAGCAAATTTGTTGCTTTGTCATCTTCCGAGTCCGTTTCTACATCCACATTATTCGTAATCGGCGCTTCCTTCAAAACTCTATTTTCTGTAACCTCTTCCTCACTCTCTGAGTCTTCTCTATCCGTGTTTTTACTACTTAGGAGTGGAATATCAACGGTGTCTTTTTCCTCGATAAAGTTTTTTTCGTTTACTCTAACATCTCTGCTTTTGAAAACGGTTTTCGTACCTTTCTTCCAAAGTCTGTACGCCTTTTACTCAGCAGAATAGCCGACTAATACTGCCTCAATACCTTTTGTATCTAATTTCGAGACATTCGCTCCTTTATTTAACGCGACAACGCTTGATTCAAAAATTCGTAAGAACTTTACATTTGGTTTCCTACCTGACCATAATTCTTCCGGTGTGACACCGTCTAAAACTTTTGTGGGACACCGATTTTGCAAAAACGCTGCGGTATTCACCGCCTCTGCCCAAAGTGATTTTGGCAATTTCGAATCTAACAACATTGTTCGTGCCATCTCCACTAGAGTCCTGCTCGCCCGCTCCGCGATACCGTTTTACTGCGGAGTATATTCGACAGATAATTGTCTACTTATCCCCTCTTTCTCTAAGTACTGTGAAAAACTGCTCAAAATATATTCTTTTGCATTGTCAGTTCGTAACCTGATTATTTTTTTGCCTGT